ATATTTTCTTGAGAATGTCGTTTTGACTGGTTGAGACTTTTGCATCCAGTTCAGTTATCATCATCATATATTTGTCATGTTTTTCTTCCATCATTTCTATAATTGTTTGTAGCATATTAGTATCATCTTTGTTGTAATCATGACTTGTTATCGATTTGTTTATGCTTACAGGAATTTTACTTGGTGTTTCTTCTCTTATCATCGATGTTGGTGTGTGTTGATATCTGGGCCTGGTGCTTGGTGTTCTTGTTCCAATATTTGTCGTAATTGAGTTAGCGATCCTAGTCTGATTAGTTGTGATGTCATCATTCAGTTGATGTTTGTTGTCAGGATCAGTGGTTACCTCTTCAGATTCTGAGTCACTTGAACTACTATCTCTGTATCTTATAGGTTTTGTGGTCGTTCTTCTTAGCCGTTGTCTTGTTGTATCTGTTTCTTTATTGCTGATTTTTACTTTCAGTTGTAGTTGTTTCTGTATGTGTCTCATCAGTATTAATCCTTCATTCATTATCCATTTTTTTTATTTATTAACACACAACATCCCCCGGAGGGGATGAAAAGGGTTACAAATCAGATATTAGTAAAAGAAAAATAACCACATAAAGAGTAAGGGAACAAAAAGGCATAAAAAAAAAAAAAAAAAAAAAAAGATAATAAGTTGAATACAAGGAATGTATTACTGGCTTAGTTTATGTAGGTGCTGCTGTCTTGTATTAAAACAGTTTTTTAAATATTGCGCTAAAGGAATAGACATTTTCTCGTCACTTAGTAATGATATGAATTTATTTTCATTACTAAATTTGTCAAAATTTGGTATACGTTTATTAGCTACAATGTAAAGTTTTAATCTTATTTCATTGTAATGAGGACAATTTATGACAAAATGTTGTTCATCTTCAACATGGTCATTGTCGCACATATTGCAGACTCTGTCTTTAAAATCCAATCCTGTATGCCGGCCTGTTTCAATTTTCAGACAGTGGTTGCCAAGTCTAAATTTTGTTAAGGATTTGCGAAGTTCACTGTTTTTCATAATTGTTAAGTAGTTTTCTTGTTCTATTTTGGTTTTAAAAAGTTTGTAGGTTCTTAGTTTATTTTTAGAATTTGATTTTTTCCTATTGTCATTATTTATGACACAAACACAAGAGCATGTACATGAACCAATAATTTATTTGGCAAATAGGGGGGCACACCACAAGACCATCGTACACAAAAGTGAGACAATGCATAACAGACTGATAAGATGGTCCCTGGTGCCGCCCCCAAAATGTAGAACAAAGCAGGTGTAAACTAGCTGGCTTACAGTTTCTAAACTAAAATACAAACTAGAATAAGACTGAAAACATGTTGGTTGGTGCAGCATAGCTGCATGATGTTAGTATGGAATGGCAGATTGCAGCATGACTGCAACTGTAAAGTATAGGCAGCGAGTGCTGCGGCTACACCGTGGTTATGCAGCGGGGGCTGCATGAAGTTAAGAGGTTATGGGTAGAGGCAGCGGGGGCTGCAACTACTGAGTTTAGACATTGACGCAGCGAGGGCTGCCTGTGAAGTCGTTAATGAGGTATTAGTAATTACAATAATAAAATTAACACTAATAATAAAACCCACGCAAAATATACCTAAGAAAATATGAATGATCTTGGGGGAATATGAGCTAATCCCATAAGCGAAGTCCCCGAAATGATGCAATTGTTTCAATTGCAGAATAACCCCCCCCATTGCCCTTAATTTTAATCTCATTACCCGCTAAGTCCATAATAGAACGACTTTCATTAATTTCATGATCGGGGGTTAACAACGCTGCTAAGTTAATGAATTTATCTTCCAAGATATTCTTTTTCAATGCTGGTGACACAGAAACTATCTTTGGCAAGTCATGTGATGCAACACCAAACTTCCTTCGTTCGTTAGTATTGCCATTGTCATTCCTATATAAGGATACAACTTGAGCTGTGGCTGGTTGGTTGGTGTGCAATATGGGTCCAAGAGAATGCGATGACGCCATATTATTAGAGTCTCATCCGCAAAAAGTTTCAGTTGGTGTAAAACAGTCTGTCGCAAGTCCTCAATTTCTCGACGAATAGTACCCATATTACAATCCGTATTATTATTACCAGATGACTCCCCACTCGGTGGTGACAGTAGGGACGGGGTGTTATTGTTGGCTGCGCTGACTGTGGTCGTAGCCGCGGTTTCAACAAGATCATCGTCTATTCGGTTTAGTTCATGGACTTGGATTAAACTTTTCCTATTCATGCTCGGTGGCAATTTCATTCCAAGTTGCGGCAACTTTTCGCGTAACACGGGTGTAGTCCAATTTACAGGGTTATTGGGATTCAAAGTTGTTGTTCGTCGAGTTTTACGTCCAGCAGTACCTTGGGTTGAACTCGTCGTAGGAATTTCTACCTCTTCTGGTGATACAGGATTGCTACCAACTTCGTTCGCCGTATCTGTTACTTGAAATTGAAATTGAAGATGTGAGTGAATAAAACCAGAATAGCTTAAGCTCCATAACACGTTCAGGCTACTTCCAATATGGCGCCAGAAACAAACTTATTGTGATGTTGAGCCACGCAAGAAAGTGCGAGATCTACGTAAATATCAGGCGAAGGAGCATGAGATTTGCGTCATAAACATTGTTTAATATTACACATTAAACCTGTATTTATAAGCATGTTTACATTTGAATATTAGAATAAATCATTTTTGTTTAGTAGTCACTACACTATGTTTCTTAACTTTGAATAATGAATGCCACTATCTCAATGCTACTCCATCAAATACTGTATATTATGATAGTGCTTCATGTTTGACATTTACAATGCTTTGTAACAAAATCAAAAGGGTCAAGTGAGCTGGGAAACACTTAAAATGTATGAATCAGTGCTACTGCTGAGTATGTTAAGGGCAAAATCTCATACCAATATTTGGAGAAAATCTTGTACATGTTGCCAGTGATATATTAGTATACCATGTTATATAAATATACAAATCCTAAGCTAATCCATAGTCAAACATTTCTGTTCAACAGCATTCACCGACTGGTTACAAATAAGCTATGATACTGTGGAATACTTTATTTTTTTCACTTGGAATCAATTTTCACTATTTTCGCGGAAGGATTGATTCAGTGAAAATAAAATTCAGCGAATATACCTTTTTTTCCTACATTTTAAATTAAGCTTGTCAAAAATCAGTAAAAATAAATTCCATACAAAACATCCAAAAAAGTATCCAGCCAAAAAGTATTTTACAGTAGTTCCAGTGCATTTGCTAAGACACAATGAACATTATAGACATTTTCTAACATAGCAGTGCATTCTAACACCCATTTTGTATCCCATTGAAATTAAGATTTTATTTAAATAAGCTGTATTGATTCATCTAATTTTGAAAAAAAATGTTTCATGTATTTAAAAAACTGTTTTGGTTCAGCTAATTTCGAAGTAATGTTTCATGTGTTAGAAACTATTAGAAAAAACAAATTGTTTTCCTTCCTGCTACCTAATTAATTGATTGCTTTACAGTGCTTTGCACTACTTTTTACTGGGCATGTACATTTACTTGCAGGGGCCTTTCAGACATGATGTCAAGGCTTTTCACATTTTCTACATCTTAAGAACACATAAAATGTCAGTGACCTCATCATTTGTAAAATTCGTCATTCATATATAACAAAATCTTCTGTCTATTCGTGATCAAAAATCTTAATGACATTAGTCAATTTCTTTCCATGGAAGACATAAGACATTGGGTGACAAATCAACAGTATCACTTTTGTGGAATGTGCTGATGATCTTGTAGAACCTGGCAGTAATCAATTAATTTAAATTGTACAATATGTTAATTTTGTTTTTATAATATTTCAGACCCAAACATTATGAAGAAATCTGGTCGTATTTTATTTATGGGAGACGTTGCGTCTGAGTATGGCTTTACAGACATAGATGGAACAGTACCATTCCACCACAGACGTCTGAAAGACGTGTTGCAGTTTAGGGGACATACATGGCTATCAATGTTTATACCAAGATTTGTCAATGTCCCACGGTGGATGATGGCTGTATTTTTGAGCAAACTGTGAACAGATGACAAAACATAACATTTATTTTGCAATCAAGTAAGCATACAAAAATTGATAGCTTCTTGACATTCCCTAAAATGTGAAAAAAAACAGTAAACCTGTAAGAGAAATATGCAAAATGGAAAAAAAAACGTGCACCCAAATGATATCCTTATTCATAGACACTAATGCATATTTTCAAAAACGAAAAACAATCGACAATTCACGTAAAATGACAAATAATCATTTAGCACAAAACAAGTACATCGCAGAACATAGTCAAATCATAAGTAAAAGATATATGGATCTTGCAATTCTATGGCAAACATTAATCAGAGTGAGCACATTGATGCTACCGAAGATTGTGTAACACTATCATTATATTTAACTAGAAGCTCTGATTAAACAAACCTTAATGTTATGAGGCAATTCTCAACTGTAACAACAGACCTCTCAATAAATTTTGAATAATAATAAATTCATTTCAATATAATCACTATATTTAGGATTGTTTGGTGGAATATCATCATAAATATTTCTTATTGTGAAGGACTTCATTTAGTAAATGTACTTCGAAATTCAGCTTTATGTGAATAAATAAATAAATCAAACAGAAAGGGGACATAATTTGTTCTCATTTAAATAACACTTTTTGAAGGTAAATACCCGGTATATGAATCATATATTTAGCATGCATTAGATGTTATCTTCACTGTAGAGAAGCTTTGCATCAGTCATGTCTGTAAAGTAGATAGACTTGTAACCCACTATTATATCATGTATTTTTAACAATAGGACTACTAGGGGGGGGGTATTGCTATTATTATAATGCTTGATTGATATGTTCTTTATTTTATTTTATCATGGCATATCGTGATATACAAGGTGAAAAAGTCGTCGAAAGTGTTAATTGATGTCCTACCTAAAAGTCCTTTGAAATTGTCACATTGTGGTTATCCCACTTGTCAAAATGATGGCATCATAATATTGTTTTAATCTAAATTTGGATGACAACATAAGTATTTTCAAGATCAAGGTAAATCAAGCATTTTATGGTTTAGGAAGAACTCTCTCCTCATCAACTCCAGTTATACTTTTACTAAAGCTGCAGTGTAAGCAAAGGTGCAAGATCAGGTTTACAAGTTAAGTAGATAAATGTCATTTTACTGGTTTTCTTTAGCAATTTCACTTTGCAAATGAATAGAATTGTTGCAATTAATACTGTATATCTGGTATGAGTTTACAATTAGCATAAACACAAGATAAGAAAAGTGAATCCTGTCCTAGGTGCTGAATCCAGGAATTAATTAAGTTAAATAATTAGATAAACTAATTTTTTGTATCCCCTACCCCATTCTTATAGAACATTAAATACAACTGTTATGATTCTATCAGATGTTTATAAAGAGTGTATGTATCCATGTGACAACAAAACCCACTGCATTTTTTGTCTCCACTTACTCGAGTCTGACCAAGTGCCCAGCTTTCAGCATATCCCTCATAAAAGTTGACATAAAATATGACAAGAAGAGTATAATCATGAACTTGCTGGTTTTACACTTCTTCCTGGTGGTGGTACTACTACTAAAATAAGTTCTAGTCCAAATACTCAACCATGTCTTGCATTCACACATCTGTATTAAAGAATGAATTTTGAAAGGGGGTATGCAACAATATTAACAAAGCTGGACGTAATGGTTACGAAGCAGATCAGATGTATCCCCTCCTATAAATAAAATGGTAAGACATGTCGATTAAAGGGTAGAGGCATTCACAGCCGCTTGCGTTTGAAATGTGTAAACATATTTAATGCATTCGACATGTATTGCATAAACATGTATGCTGCTATGCACACTACAATAGTCATATAGAACGCACGCACCATTTCTGGTTCTGGTCCTGTGCCATACCATGCCTTTTATTTGCCTTTTCTACAGTATTTTTGTAAAAACATGCATGACAATTTGTTTTTCTTATTCTGTACGTGGGAAATCAAAGACTTGATTACAAAAAAATGTATAGTCAATTTCAATAAAATATCACGAGTGAGCACCTTCCTTTGTACAGGTACAAGTTAAAGCAAGAGGGTCGTCACCTGCGCACGCGCGTGAATTGAGTCCCAAGCGACGATAACAACGCACGCTAAAAACGCAAAGGCTCATGGGTAGACGTTTTTTTTGTAAACAATGACACGCTATGGCCATCAGGCACAGGTGACGACTCCCCGGCTTTAAAAAACTAACATGCTAGTACTAGTAATTTCAGATCTCGCCCTCTGTATAGTACAACTGAGTGGATAGGGGGGGGGGGGCTGTGCAACAGCTCATAGATCACACAACTACGAAATCAAGTTTTAGGTAGATATAAAGTATATATATATGATATACCGATAGTCAAAGTACAAACATTCAATGTGTTTACAGACTATTCGTTTTTACATATAAGTGAGGTAATGTGGATATACATCTCGCATGCAGACGTGTAGTAAGGGTAGGTAAAGTTTTTCTTTTGTTTTTGGAATGAAAGGGCAAACTGCTTAGCTCAGTATCTATTTTAATTAATTCATTAACTGGGATTGGATTTTGTGCAGAAATATACACAATCCCTGATAATATAATTGTGATATTTGTCACAGGGAGCATCAACTCGTGGCAAAGTTTTGTACGTACTTTGCTTCCAAAATGTTATAATGGTCAAACCCATATTTTCTTTATATGGTCAGCGTCCTTCACAGTGACTCTAATTGTCGATTCCATACGATGTGTCCAAAACACGCATGTATGCATAATTATTTTGTCGGGATCATTTCAACATTGGTTATTATTTTCCTGCCCTCTCATAACACCATATGTGACTGTGACCAATGTATATTCACAACAAGATCGGTCATTTGAAATGATCAGCTAAATTTCGATTGAAACCACCGAATTCCACGTCTTATTAAACTAGCCATCATAGCCATACGTGAGTGAGAGGCGGAAAAAATGAAGGGTATATCCCCAATTCACAGCAACATTTTAATCTGTTTACGTTTGCAGGGAAAGAGTGTAATGAACTGTAAAACAATCGCCCCAAATACTGCTGTTTCCAAATTTACCTGCACTGCAAAATCCACTCATTACCCCATCACAAGTGTCTCTAATAATTTTACAACGCGTAGTCCTTTGGGAAAACTTCACTTTCGAACCTCTACACCGAAACAAAACATGCGTACGAAAAAAAAACCGCACAATTTGAAAGCTCTGGAACTCGAGTAATTCTGGGAAACGGAAATGAATATGTCATGCTTAGGATAGATGCTGAAAGACAAGATACCTTTTATAGTCAGGGCCATACTGATAATTTAAATTATTTGTTTGCAAGAGCAATCAGAATATATGATATTGCAACTCATTTCATTTTGTAATTCAAGAATGTTTGTACATGATAGTATTTCTACGTGAAATATTCACGTTCCAATAAAAGGATGTCTTTGTTTATTTGGAATATTTTTTTTTAAATCTACATCGTGATATTAAAGATAATTGTGCATGTCTGTGTCGTCACCGATTCGCACTGCGCATGTTCACCCAGTCATCGTAAAGTCGCATTCACATCACGCTATTTCAAGCCATCTTTGTTGGGGCAGTGTGTTGTGGTGCAACGAGAAGAGCGTCTGCTTACATTTGCGAGGCGTATTTGCCGAGGTGTGAGCTCTTATTTTGTGTTTCATGTTTATACGCTTGTATATATGTCTGTAATTTAGATTGCTATATTGTATGTTAATATGTTTAATACCTCCTTCACCATAACGACCATGTAACATTATTTTTTTATTTATTAGTTAAGACCGCATAACACCAAGCTTCGTTGACTGGAAAATTATTGTTAAACTACTGAGCACATCTACCTGTGGTGTTGCTGTCAAAAACAACTCAAATAATGTAAGACAATTTACAGAATCTATAATATTTTATAATGTAGTTTATATTTTACACCTCTGACGTTCGATGAGTTTACACTTGTTGGACTGTTGGCATTTCCCTAATCCCTAATCTCGGCGTTAGCTACTGTATTTAAGTGACTATGTTTTAATCGTATATATATCGTGTTTTAAGCATTTCTCCCCGTCTTGATCTTTGTTTGTCAGTTTGCTGATTACCTTTATTACCAATGAAAATGCTTCATTGCCAGACACCAGATTCAAGTCAAGTCATAACATACACATTTGTGAAGTTCGTGAAGTTTTGGGTCTTTTGTAGTGTAGTTCAGGATGGCGTGCGTTGTGTCATGGATTGATTTTTGTTTTGTTAAACGATTACAATAAACATTATTGATAGATTTGTATGGGCAAAGGTCAGCATGCTAGCTCTTATATTTGCCGCATATTTCAGACGTATGCCTTCAAGCCCTCAAAGACACCAAAGTGACATTTGAACCCAACTCGTTAATAGTTCTATTTAATATCAAAGTAAACTTTAAGTTGAGGTAAACCTTTTTCATATATTGTGGTGATGGGATTTTTTTGATAGCACATATTTTCATAAAAAGCGCCAATAGCTTCTGTCTGTCATGGTATTTAGATACACTTATTCTCTGTCACTAGTAGCTTCGCGATGAGTGGCTTTCGCTGTAAGTGATTAGCTTTCGCAGTGAGTAGGGCTTTGTCATCACAGTTGAGAATTTGTTTCATTAACAAAAAAAAAATGAAATATTAATTAATTTATTATATAACCTGGACAAACGAAATCATCATCTTTCTTCATTATAATGATAACATGTAACTTCATGCAGAAATCCTAATAAATGAGATTTAAAACTGACGGCTAGCAATATTAGGGATTATCAGCTCGATCATAGTGTCCATAGTATCTTTTGCTTACTGATTTGACTACACTGTGTACTTGAACGTTTCCAGTATACTGTGTTTTCCGGCATACTTACTTATCAGTGTCTGACTGGTATATACAAAATGCGACCAAGAAAACGTCAGAGCCACAGAACCAAAACAATTAGATGCCATCCACACCAGCGAAATGATTTTACACATAGAAATTGAGAATCGCAATTGCATTGACATGAACACTAAATACATCTATCCCGTCCAGAATTAGAATCATCAGATTTCATGAATGAGTAACTGGTATTTCCATCTATTTGCTTAGTGATCTGAGAGTGAATATTGTCAAGTTCGAAAGTGTCTTTACATACGTCAACGTGATCATTATTGATACAATTATCACGGGGTAAATTCTTTTCTCTCGGGGTTCTCCACACTTGTCAGGGGGGAAACTCGTCTCGTCTCTCTATCTCGTCCCCTTGAGGTATGGGATCGGGAAAGTCACTTTAACTTTACAGTCAAATAAGACACATACAACGAAATACGTTTCAGCTCTCGTCCCCAAGACTATCGCAAGGCTGACCCAAGACTCTCTTAGACTGCGTCAACACTCGCCCCAAGGCTCTCCAGGACTGCTCTAGACTGCGTATATCGTGCTGTGCTCTCCAAGACCAACTCAAACTCTCTTTATTCATTTTCAAAACTCTAACCAATTACAAAGTAGTAAAAAGACTCTAGGGCGTAACCTTCAATCACACTAAGTATTGAATACGTCATATCTTTTGATTAATC